TTAAATATCACTCCTGAGATTTATAATATATATTTAAAATATACTTACCACTTTTTGTTAGATTTTCTAACAAAAATATAGACCTCTAATAATTATTATTAAACAGAGAGTTTAAATTATTTACCATTAGAGTGATGTTTGAAAAAATTAATATTATTTGACTGCAAACAAGTAAAACTTAATGACTTATATAAATAAGTAAATTCACATAAGTTTCAATAAAAGATTGTATACTGGTTTATATTTCTGCAATAGTTATGAAATGGCAAAATCTTAGAGATTATTTTGAAATCTTAGATGAGAGAAGCTATGCATAAGTTTGGTCCAATAAAATTCATATATATTATATCATTGGTTTTGTTTTTTAAAACGTTTATTTAGTTTGGAACAGAAAAATATTAATAAATAACAAAATTAGCAATTAGTTGATATATATCTTATTATATAAAAATAAATGCATCAAAGTTGGTAATTCACAAGTTCATGATACATGGCAAAGTTAATCAATTATATTTCAACATGTGTCACTATAGAATTAAAAATAAATATAACTTTAGGAAATATCACTATTGTTAAAAAAAAATATATATATATATAACCACTAAATCTAAAATATATATATATATATATATCTCAACTAAGAAAATGAAACTTTTTCAAAAAAGTAAAAAATAATCCAAAAAGAAAAAAATAAAATATTACTCACATCTTCATAGATATATAAAATCTCTTATAATTTTACTAGACTGATTTTTTTCTTAGATTCGAATCAAACGAATAAGATGGGAAACTGATGAATCGATAAAAATAATCAGAATTGCAAAAGCATAATAAAGGAGAAAGCCAATTTTTTTTTTGAAATATGATCGTGATATATATCAAATTTTTTTATTATGATTTTGATACGTGTCGCGATTAAATTAAAAATAAAACACAAATTTAGAAAATATCATAATTATTAAAAAAAAAATAAGTACTATAATATCTAAAAAATGAATATATTAAAAAATTATGTATTTCAACTAAAAAAGGAAAAACAGTTTGAAAAAAAGTAAAGACTAGATCCTAAAAGAAAAAGGAACTTATTACTCACATCTTTATAAATACATAAAAACATTTATAATTTTCCTATGCTGATTCTTCTTTTAAACTGGAATCAATTGGATAAGATGAAAAACTAATAAAATGGTGAAAAATAATCAGAATTGCGAAAGCAAAATGAAGGAGAAAGCCAATTTTGTTCTTATACCATTTTACTAAATGAGATTCTCGATAAGAGTTTGTTAGAGAAAAATCATATTTATGAAAAATATAAAATTAAATACAGAATGAAAAAGAAAGCCAGTTTTTTTAATCATTTTTATTATAAGTGATTTTGTGAAAATGTTCTCAATGTTATATTTTTATGTTCACAGTGATCTAATATTGTTTTATACTTTTTCATATTCATTCATATTTGTAAAAAATATAAAAAACATAGAATAAAATAGAAATTCAATTTCTTTAATCAGTTTTATTATAAGTGATTTTACTAAAATATTCTCAATCTTACTTTTTAATGTTTATAATGATCTAATTTTGTTTTTCACTTTTTCATGTTAGTAAAATAATTTTCAAACTCATGTGTATACACGGGTACTAATCTAATATATATATATATCTATTCTAATAAAGTAAGGTTTTTTCACAACTATCTCTGATATGCTGTCATGTTGCATCTAAAAAACTGACATGTGTTACTTTTTTTTTTTACAATTTTTATTAAATTTTCTTTCATTAAATAAATACAAGAAGAAATTAAGCTTCAGTTTTTTTCTCTTCTACAAGTGATTATTTTTCATCCAACAAACAGAAACGAAAATAAAATCACTCAAACATATCTAATATAATATAATAAAATAATTTGTTATTTTCTTTACTTTTATTTTTTTCCTCAGCACTATTCTCTTTTATTATGGGTATGATTAGTGTGCATTAGAAGAATTGAGAGGAATTGAGAAGAAAAGAAAAGTTATAATTAAAAGAAATTAATTTATTTATTTTGAATGTGTGCTTTTAGATAGAATAAACTTTTCAACTTGGTTTGGGTAGAAGGAAATTTTCCACACCTTTCTATTGATTCCAGAAGATAATTTTTTCTTCAGTTTTTTTTTCTTTTCTTTATGATTGGTTTACTTTTTAAAATTACTAGAAGAATTATTTTTTTACTTTTTCTTTTCTTCTATAGACTACAACCAGCCAAGCCCTATGTCTCTTACTTCACATTATTCAAGGAGATTTTTTTAAACTTTTAAGAGATGACTGTGACATTGTTCAATCACAAAAATATATTCATTTATTTATGTTTTCTTTCTATAACATAATAAAATCATGTGTCATTGTTTCACTTTTTTCTTTTTTTTCTTCTCAGCCCTATTCTCTTTCATTATGACATTTAAGAAGCTTCATTTTTTTTTCTCTTCTATAAATGATTATTTTTCATCTAACAAACAGAAACGAAAAATCAGTAAGGTTTTTTTTTCTTCATAAACAACCTTGATATGTTGTTACGTGGTATCTTAAAATTTGACATGTGTCATTTTTTTTCCTAAATCTATTGTATTCACTTTCATCGAACAAATACAAAAATAATGTCTCGGTTTTTTCTTCTTCTCCACTAGATTCTCCTTTATTATATGTCCTATTTCACATTATTTAGATTTTTTTAACTTTTAAGAGCTGACTATGTCATTGTGTCTGTCTGAAAAAATAGATTCATTTCTTCATGTTCTCTTTGTGGCAATCAAAAAGAAAATCATGCACTATTTGCTTTCATAAAATATTTTTACATTAAGGCCCCAATATTTACTTTCCTACTGCATCCAACCTCAAACCACCATTATTATCACAATATGGATTCTATTTTCGAGAACTTTCTTTTCGGTCATCCCCAATGACAGCATCATTTCTCTAATAGGTTCAAACCAAACATTATTATTTCACCAATCTTTTTATACAAAATTTAAAGAGTATATGCAACTTAAATAAAATTTACTAACAAATATAATAAAATCGATTATAAAATTAAAATAGTCAAAATATCACAAATCCGCGCAACGCATGTACCTTCTTCTAGTATTTACATATAGAGAGATTTACATAAAAAGGTATTTTGTGAGTTTTGGTTACAGAAAAAGACACTTTGTGGGGAAGAGGCACTTTGGCCATTGTTCATAATATGTTAATCCGATTTTGTCCTTTCTCTTTACTTATAGTTGTCCACATATGTTCATCCACGTGGTCGGCATATTTTAGCCATTTGTTATAGTATATAAGTTTCACAGAGTTCATCCATAAAAGATAAGAAAAATGGATATACAAAATCATATTTAGCTGTCCACGAAAGTTCATCCACGAAAGACATGCAATATGGATAGACAAATTCAAACAATACATGTTTGGCTGTCCATGAAGGGTCATCCATGTGAGCATGAACTTCATTGATCTCAAACTAGTCTAGTGAACGTATGAAATTGTCCACATATGTTCATCTACGTGGTCGAAATATTTTAGTCATTGTTAAAATATACAAGTTTCACAGAGTTCATTCACAAAAATGTGCAAAATAGATATACAAAATCATATTTAGATATCCGTGAAGATTCATCAAAGAAAGACATGCAAAATGGATAGACAAATTTAAACAATACATATTTGATTGTCCATGAAGGATCATCCACGTGTGCATGATCTTCATCGATCTCAAACCAGTCTAGTGAACGTTTGAAGTCATCCACGAAAATTCATCAACGAAGATTGATTATGATGTGTTATAGTTATCCACAAAAATTTATCCACGTGGTCTAGCGGTTCTGAACATTTGATTTTGTATGAAAATGATAAAATGGTCATTTCGCATGATGAAATTGCTTCTTCCCTTCTAAGTGTCTTAATTTGTAATTCAAGTTTCTAAAAGTGTCTTAAAATGTAATTTTCTTATATATATATATCTACTTTACTTCAAATTTTAAATAAACTATCTACGTTGTAATAAATATTTGCTAAGAACTATATCTAACTTTTTGACATATGTTATAACATACTAAGTTAATGGAAACGGACCTTTTGAGGTTGTTTAGAGAGCTTGATTTGAACCGAGATGCTTTGATCTGGATAAGTCCACTCCTGATGTCTGATTCTTGCATTATTATTTGAATGCTTTTGTTGTGACTCGCGCCATCTGATGTTTCTTTTCTAAGTACCCACTAATAAAGAAGCGTATTAAATTTTAAGTATCCCAAATGATGCTAGAGACCATATTTCTCTAGAGAAATGGCAATGACCACACAATGTTAATTGACTAATTGTCGCTTTTTTCTTAAATTAACAATTTGCTCTAATTTCTTTATTTATTAAAAAAAAAAAAAGAAGGGAGAAGGTTTTGAAAAATAAAGGAAATAAAAGTCAGCACGTATTCGTCATTTTGCAGATTATCATTTGTCATTCGGGTTTGTAAATCAACTCTTTCGTTTCTCTACCTATCATCCCTTTCCCAAGATTGTAAGAACACCAAATCTCCCTTTTCTCTCAATTCCAGTTCCTCGTTTATGTTTCTTGTTTCATATTTTCAGATAATTCAATCCCAACTTTGTTCTCTGTAAATTAGAGTTATGGACTTCGTCTTGTTCCGAGTTTTCGTCCATTGAAATGTTCTTCAAGAATGTTGAAAGGATCAACTTTTTTTTTTCATATTGGTTTTAAATTTTGAATCTTTAGTGTGGGAATCCAAATACATAAGGATGATCCGTAGATCATATTTTTTGATATTGAATTCATATTTTTTTTCCTGATGATTATTGCCTATTTTTCTTTTGTTTTTGAACGTTTAATCGTAATTCAATTTGGAAAATTGGAACTTTCTTTGTTGTCTTCATCTCAATAAATTTGTGCGTGATGGGTTTTATTTGTTTGTTTGTTAAATGTAGGATTTTGTTTGATGATTGTTGTTTCTTAAAAGAGCAATGAGCAATTATTCAGCCGGACTCGGTAAGCCTGGCTCAGGTATGACAAGATTGACTGATTTGTAAAATTCATTTCCATGCTTTGTAGTTATAACAATGGCTGTGGAGGATTCACATAATGGATCTCGATACACATTGTGTGATAATAACAGGTAAAAGGAGAATAAGAGATCTTTTAAATCAACCTGATAACCGAGTCTGCGCTGATTGTGGCGCTTCTGATCCTAAATGGGCGTAAGTTATCACCGTTAACCCTATCCTCTTGATTTCTGATTTCAACGTTTTGGTTATCTACTTTTGACTTCTTGTATGATCTTCATGTAGTTTGATAATAACCAATTGAAAGCTGGAAACTTTTCTAGTCAAAGCTAATATGTGTTTGGTTCTGTATATTAAAAGCCTATCACTGTTCAAGATCTCACATTTTCTCTTAGTTATGCCTCTTTGTGTTTGTTTGATCAGTTAGTGGCTTTTGTTTTTCTTTCAGATCAGCAAATATCGGAGTATTCATTTGCTTAAAATGTTGTGGTGTGCACAGAAGCCTCGGGACACATATCTCAAAGGTGATGTAGCTTTGTCTCTTCTCTTAATAACTCATAGACAAAATGATTTTCTTTTGTTGTGTACTCATTGTCTTGTTTCTGCAGGTCTTGTCTGTGACACTTGATGAATGGTCAGATGAGGAAGTCGACGCCATGATTGAAATTGGAGGAAATGCTTCCGCTAACTCAATTTACGAAGCTTTTGTACCTGAAGGAAGCTCTAAGCCTGGACCTGATGTTAGTCATGACCAGCGTATGAGATTCATTAGGTATTGATTCAGATAAAAAGCAGGAAAGGACAAATCCATTGTTGTTTATAGAGTTGCTCAAACTCTTGAATCTTTTGTTTAGGTCAAAATATGAGCTCCAAGAGTTTCTGAAACCAAGCTTGCGGATCAAATCCGGGAAGTGCTCGACAAAGAATTCAGCTTTTCTTACATCAAGTCTTTCTAGAAAGATCATGGATAGTTTCCGCACAAATTCATCATCACAGAAGATAGTAAAAGCTTCTTCTAACTTTCAAAGTTTTAACAGTTTCTTTATTCAATCCGTCCTGTTGAACATAGATAAATTTGACAGTTTCAGGAAGGAATGGTAGAGTTTATTGGATTGTTGAAGGTGACTGTTAAGAAAGGTACTAACTTAGCAATCAGAGACATGATGTCAAGTGATCCGTATGTTGTGTTGAATCTAGGGAAGCAAGTAAGTGATCTCCTTTGTGACGCTTCTTTATCAATCTGCATCTATGTACTTTTAGTTGATCTTGAAGTTATTCCCAAACTGTTCAGAAACTTCAAACAACTGTTGTGAATAGTAACTTGAACCCGGTATGGAATCAAGAGCTCATGCTGTCTGTTCCCGAGAGCTACGGCCCAGTGAAGTTGGTAAGTGCATTGGAGTTTGTCTACTGAAGATTTTCGGTTATTACATATCTAAGTGGTTTGTGTCTCTGTGAATGCAGCAAGTGTACGATTACGATACGTTTTCAGCTGATGACATAATGGGAGAAGCTGAGATTGATATCCAGCCACTGATAACATCTGCAATGGCTTTTGGGGATCCTGAAATGTTTGGGAACATGCAGATTGGGAAATGGCTAAAGTCGCACGATAACCCGCTTATAGATGACAGCATCATTAACATTGTCGATGGGAAAGTGAAGCAGGAGGTTCAGATCAAGCTTCAGAATGTAGAGTCTGGAGAGTTAGAGCTAGAAATGGAATGGCTGCCACTTGAACAATAATAATAAGGATCTAATAGGGTCTCATATACACTTGTGTTGTTGATTCATTATTCCTTTACATTGTTTGCAGTTTTGATCTCATTTCACGTGAAAATGTTAACTTTTTTTTCTCTCTTTTTTGGGTTTGGTTTGATGTATAAACTCAATGGATTGTATAATGTTTTGATTTATGGTAAGTAAAGAACGAACTAATCAAAGCTTCTAACTTTCCACAAGACAAAACATTAACAGATGAAACACTTTGAAGGAGGAGACATGTCGTCCTGCTCAGACATCTTCTTGTATTGCTGGGTACAAAGTCTCGATAAATTGCTATAAGCTCCTGAATTACATGAGCAATCACATTCTTATTAAATCGCCAAGCACATTACAGTACAGGTACCTCTAAACTGATTCTCTGTTATTATATTAACCTCACCGTGAAGAAGGTACCGATAAAAGCACAAGGACTGTGAAAACGCTAGAATTTTAACCTAACTTACAAGCCATCCTTACAAAAAAATTTATGTCAGAAACAATGTGTGGACGATGAAGCTACTTTGACACTGATAAACACAAACAGAGCACACAGAAATGTAGAATCAAACGATATATTCCAATCGAGAATTTCGTAATGTCTTACAACGGAAAAGAGATAAGAATGCAAACACAGTTTATCATTTATTTATCAGGAGGCTTTACAAGACCCCAACACACAAACCACTGAGAAATTTTTAGAGAAACGAAACAAGAACGAGTTTTAAAACCATAACAGAGACACAAGCCGAGAACTTTTAGAAACCACCACGGAGACGAAGGACCAAGTGAAGGGTCGACTCCTTCTGGATGTTGTAGTCAGCCAATGTGCGACCATCCTCAAGCTGCTTTCCAGCGAAAATGAGACGCTGCTGGTCTGGAGGGATACCTTCCTTGTCCTGGATCTTCGCCTTCACGTTGTCAATAGTGTCAGAGCTCTCGACTTCAAGGGTGATTGTCTTGCCGGTAAGGGTTTTCACGAATATCTGCATGCCACCACGGAGACGCAACACCAAGTGAAGAGTCGACTCCTTCTGAATGTTGTAATCGGCCAATGTGCGACCATCCTCGAGCTGCTTTCCAGCGAAGATGAGACGCTGCTGGTCCGGAGGAATACCTTCCTTGTCCTGGATCTTCGCCTTCACGTTGTCGATTGTGTCAGAGCTCTCGACCTCCAAGGTGATTGTCTTGCCGGTGAGTGTCTTCACGAAAATTTGCATACCACCACGGAGACGGAGGACCAAGTGAAGCGTTGACTCTTTCTGGATATTGTAATCGGCCAAGGTGCGACCATCCTCGAGCTGCTTGCCGGCGAAGATCAACCTCTGCTGGTCCGGGGGAATGCCTTCCTTATCCTGAATCTTAGCTTTGACATTGTCAATGGTGTCGGAGCTCTCGACTTCAAGGGTAATAGTCTTGCCGGTAAGGGTCTTCACGAAGATTTGCATACCACCACGAAGACGCAACACCAAGTGAAGCGTAGACTCCTTCTGAATGTTGTAGTCGGCCAAGGTGCGACCGTCTTCAAGCTGCTTTCCGGCGAAGATCAACCTCTGCTGGTCCGGAGGAATACCCTCCTTGTCCTGGATCTTGGCTTTCACGTTATCAATGGTGTCCGAGCTTTCAACCTCCAAAGTGATAGTCTTCCCCGTCAAGGTCTTGACAAAGATTTGCATACCACCACGGAGACGAAGGACCAAGTGAAGCGTAGACTCCTTCTGGATGTTGTAGTCAGCCAAAGTTCGGCCATCTTCAAGTTGCTTCCCGGCGAAGATCAATCTCTGCTGATCCGGAGGAATACCTTCCTTGTCCTGGATCTTGGCTTTCACGTTGTCAATAGTGTCGGAGCTTTCAACCTCCAAAGTGATGGTCTTTCCGGTCAACGTCTTGACGAAGATTTGCATACCACCACGGAGCCTGAGCACGAGATGAAGGGTCGACTCCTTCTGGATGTTGTAATCGGCCAAAGTTCGGCCGTCTTCCAACTGCTTTCCGGCGAAGATAAGCCTCTGCTGATCCGGAGGAATCCCTTCCTTATCCTGGATTTTGGCTTTAACGTTGTCGATGGTGTCAGAGCTTTCAACCTCGAGGGTGATTGTCTTCCCGGTGAGAGTCTTAACGAAGATCTGCATCTGAATTTCAGAAAATAAACTCATATCGATAAGCTATGTATGAAAATAAATTCAGATCACTTGCGGAATCAGAGAATACGATCCGATCAAGAAGCTAATCACAGATCTGGAAGGAAAAAATAGACCGACGCGGAAAAACACAGATCGGTGAACAGTAACGAACCCTAATCGGAGATCTATCGATGAAACTCTTTTATAACCACAAATCAAATACAAAGAATCGGAGGGAGACGCAGTTACGATCGAAAGATAAAGCTAATCGAGGAAACCCTAATTTGAAAGTCAGAAATCTACCTTGATCGTAATTCGAGTTGAAGAGAGGATCGAGAGATTTGAGATTTTGGGAAATTGATTTGTGAAGGAGAAGTGGTCTTGGGGTACTAATTTATACGAAAGGATGAGGACGACGCGGTCACGAGAAAGGGAAGGCGGTGAAGCAATAAGGAATCAAAGTTTGACACATGTGTTAGATGACGTGTACAATTCTGTGCCCTACATTTAGGAAAGCCGAATTTCGAGTTTTCTAGAAGTTCGAGCTTCGTTCTCTTTTCCTTTCGGTAATTTCCTTTTATTTTTAAAATGCAAGTGGGCTTTTCATTTTTTTTTGAATTTCGAACAGATCAGGGATTTTTTGAAAATAATACTAGTGGTATATATCTTTTGTCAAAATAATTAGGAAAATTATAATTTATAACCCAAAAAAATCAAATTGTGAGAGATATAATCCTGTTTCTCTTACGGCAAATAATCCATGTGTTTGGATTTTTAATGGTTATGAATATTTGCATGATTTGCATGGGATTTATTTGCATCAAGTTGGAGAACGGGGTATACAGGCAAGTGGTTACGGTAATTTGGATTAATATTTTGTTTTAATTCAAACATTAAATGGCAAATTATCCATGTTTTGGATTTTTTAAATGGTATTTGGATATTTATATTTGCATAATTTGCATCGGATAACGATTTTTGTATCAAGTTGGTGAACGGTGTAAAGGCAAGTGGTTACGGTTGATTTGGTTTAATATTTCGTTTGCAATTCAATCATTAAATGGAACTCATGTGGGCTAGGCCGATACTTAACCTTGTTGGTTTCGCGTTTCTTCAGTCAAAAAAGCCTCATTGAAAAATCTTCTTTTTATTGGTCGATAGCATTCTTTGTCGAATGTGGTGTGGTTCGCGTAAACTTATCTCAAAACAGCCGCGTCTTGAAACAGTGCAGCGTTTGAAAGTTATGACCCGGCCCATTAGATCATGAACTTGACCTGCCTCTGTGAAAGTTACGACCCGGCCCATTAACCCGAAACTTTTACTTCTCCTACACGCCAGATCCTTGAAGAATTTCAAATAGACCGATCCGGTCAGACAGTGATTTTGAGAATGCACATAGCTTATAGTAAATCTTGATCGATGCTTTCCACATGAGATACATTTAATAACAGCAAGTTCCCATTTGTAGAAAGCTGTGACACGGAAATCAAACTTTGAAAAAAGCAAGAAACTTGAAAAGCGATTAAGAGCTAGTGTTGAGGTAAAATTAGAAATCAGTGAAGAGACATTATAATGCTTTTTGGATAAAATCTAAAGACACTTTGTGTTTGCACAGTGTATCATATTTTTTGTTCTATGTATGGAAATACAATTCTTAACCAACTCTCGAATGTTGATGATCTTTTTGATTGAGTTTTGACGGTTGAGATTGCTGATTTGAAGCACTTGGTTGTCCACAGGAGATTCTTGAATGTTCTTTGTCTCTTTGACTGAGTTTAAAGGTGGAGATTTCTTGGTTTGAAGAACTTGATTGTTCACAAGAGATTCTTGAATGTTATTTTTTTTGTCCCTTTAAATGAGCTCGAAGGTGGAGATTGCTCGGTTTGAAGCATTTAGTCATTGTTGTTGTTGTTGATCCAAACCTTGACCCTCTCTACTTTCTTATTGCTCCACACCTTTGTAGGAGAATTTTAAAATGTTAATGATCTCTTTGACTGAGTTTGTCCGTGGAAATTCTCGGTTGAAGAAGCACTTGAGCCGTCAATAGGCAAATCTTGATCGTTGATGTTCTGTTGAGTTTGACGATGGAAATTCCTCAGTGCTTCTGAAGCACTTGATCATTGTTTCTCACTGGATAATCTTGACAGTTGGTGATTTTAGAGAAATTCGATTCGTCTTAAGCGAAATGAGAAGAGATAAAGACGAAAACATAGTTCATCAATTATCTAGAATATTTTTCTTCTTTCCTCTCATGTATTGTCCCCTGTATTTAAGATTCCTTATATACTAAGCTCCAGAAAATAAGCAATCACATTCCAATTTAAATGATCGGGAATCCAGAACTGAATCTATTAACCACATTGAAGAGAATGACCCATAAGCACAGAATGTACAAAAACTAAACTTTTCACCCTCTAGGCGGAAGATTTCAGAAGTAAAAGATAGTAGTTTACAAGCTTCACCGCACTAACATAATGTATGGATACTCAGCATTTACGATATTTCCGGAGCAATATGGACAAGATAATACGATCAAACTACTCTCTCCATTGATGAGAGTATTTAGCAAACACATATATATCCATAAGAGAAAAAAAAATTGTAAAGATAAAAGGCGAAATTTAGAGAAACGACGATATATTCCAATTTAGAGAAATTCGATTCGTCTTAAGCGAAATGAGAAGAAATAAAGACGAAAACATAGTTCATCAATTATTTAACAGGGGGCTTTACAAGGCCCCAAAACACAAACCACGGGTAAGTTTTTAAGGGAACGAAACGAAATGAAACAGTACTTTTGGAGACAACACCATAACAGAGACTCAATTTTTTAGAAACCACCACGAAGACGAAGGACCAAGTGAAGGGTCGACTCCTTCTGGATGTTATAGTCAGCCAATGTGCGACCATCCTCGAGCTGTTTTCCAGCGAAGATGAGACGCTGCTGGTCCGGAGGAATGCCTTCCTTGTCCTGGATCTTCGCCTTCACGTTGTCAATGGTGTCGGAGCTCTCGACTTCAAGTGTGATTGTCTTCCCCGTCAAGGTCTTGACGAAAATCTGCATACCACCACGGAGACGGAGGACCAAGTGAAGGGTCGACTCCTTCTGGATGTTGTAGTCAGCCAATGTGCGACCATCCTCGAGCTGCTTTCCAGCGAAGATGAGACGCTGCTGGTCCGGAGGAATCCCTTCCTTGTCCTGGATCTTCGCCTTCACGTTGTCGATTGTGTCGGAGCTCTCGACTTCCAAGGTGATTGTCTTGCCGGTGAGTGTCTTCACGAAAATTTGCATACCACCACGGAGACGCAGGACCAAGTGAAGCGTGGACTCTTTCTGGATATTGTAATCGGCCAAGGTGCGACCATCCTCGAGCTGCTTGCCGGCGAAGATCAACCTCTGCTGGTCCGGAGGGATTCCCTCCTTGTCCTGGATTTTGGCCTTCACGTTGTCAATGGTGTCGGAGCTTTCAACCTCCAAAGTGATGGTCTTTCCCGTCAAGGTCTTGACGAAGATCTGCATACCACCACGGAGACGCAAGACCAAGTGAAGTGTAGACTCCTTCTGGATGTTGTAGTCAGCCAAAGTTCGGCCGTCTTCAAGTTGCTTTCCGGCGAAGATCAATCTCTGCTGATCCGGAGGAATACCTTCCTTGTCCTGGATTTTAGCCTTCACGTTGTCAATAGTGTCGGAGCTCTCCACTTCCAAAGTGATGGTCTTTCCGGTCAACGTCTTGACGAAGATTTGCATACCACCACGGAGCCTGAGCACGAGATGAAGGGTCGACTCCTTCTGGATGTTGTAGTCAGCAAGAGTCCGGCCGTCCTCGAGTTGCTTTCCGGCGAAGATCAACCTCTGCTGGTCCGGAGGAATACCTTCCTTGTCTTGGATCTTGGCCTTGACGTTGTCGATGGTGTCGGAGCTCTCCACCTCGAGGGTGATCGTCTTTCCTGTTAGGGTTTTGACGAAGATCTGCATACCGCCACGGAGCCTGAGGACCAAGTGGAGGGTCGACTCCTTCTGGATGTTGTAGTCGGCCAAAGTTCGGCCGTCTTCCAACTGCTTTCCGGCGAAGATAAGCCTCTGCTGATCCGGAGGAATCCCTTCCTTATCCTGGATTTTGGCTTTAACGTTGTCGATGGTGTCAGAGCTTTCCACCTCGAGGGTGATAGTCTTCCCGGTCAGAGTCTTAACGAAGATCTGCATCTGAATTTCGGAAAAACTGAGATCAGTAACCTAACGAAGATATGGAGAAATAATCGGCAACAGTAAAGGAATCGATTCGATATATACTAAAATCCGATCGCGAAAACACTAATCAGATCCGATCAAATAAACTAATACCAGATCTATGGAGGAAGATCACAGATCTATGACTAATAAGAACACTAATCGAAAATCAAGAGAACTAACATCTACTATCGCAGAATCAAATTCAAAAAAAAAAGAGAAAATCAACTGTGATCGAACGAAACACGTAATCGAAGAAGAAATCAAAAATTTACCTTGATCGTGAGTAGTCGGGGTTGAGATAGAAGAAAAGATTGTTTTTGATTTCGGAATCTGAATTGTGAAGGAGAAGAGATGTTACGGGACTGATTTATAGAAAAGGATGAAGATTATTAGGTCACGGAGAAAGGTAAGGCGGTGAAGCAGTAGGCAATCAAAAACTGACACGTGTATTGAGCGTTGTTTACACGCAACCTTTTGCTAAATATTGCCTTAATTTTAGGTAAGGAAAAGTATTTGTGCTTTGAGTTGATAACCACGACCCGTGTGCCGGCTGCAACCTCTTTTGACGCCGTTTCTTACTTAGCTTGTCGACAACCACAATTTCTAACGTCCGTAACCCGAAGCCGACGTTATGATTTAACGATCGTCACCATTATCTTTCTTTTTCTTTTAATAATCAACGGTTGAGCTAAAAAGGCCAATAATTGAACTATGGGTCCCACTCTGTCAAAGCCTATCTCGTCTTCTCTAGAATTCGTGCTTTGTTTTTTTTTTTTTTTTTTTTTCCTTATATACT